TGCAGCCACAATACAGGCCACACACGCTCCGCAGTAACCAGATTTGAACATGAGAGAGGAGACCACAAAAGGCAGTGGAAAACAGAAAACAGTTCAGAAAACAGTTCACTGTGAGGAAGTGTATTAAAAGCAAAAATAATCACTAGAAAGTGAGTGTATCCCAAGCATCCAGCAGCAGCCATCCTCTGATCCCAGCCTGCATTTGGGGGAGGAGTTGTTCAGAGCCAGATGAATTCCTACATCCCTCTTATACAAGGAGCAGCAGTGTGGAGGTCTGATGGAGATGGAGCAGCACCAGAAGCCCAGGTTCGTACATCTCAGGTCAGTGCCTACCACTGCAGCCTGTTCTGCCTCCCCATCACACAGCAAGGACAACGCAGCAGCACCAAGTGCCCGACTCTGCCCGCTGCCGGCACGGCTTTACATGCCTCAGGCAGCAATACTTGGCAGACACAGCCAAAGCATAGATGTTCTGCAATGACTTCGAAGCAAAAAGTTGACTTCCACCCCAGACAGTCTCCATTACCCCCTAGATAGTCAGGTCTTTTGGCCATGCCTTTGATTCCTCTCTGCAAATAGCTTTCACCAGGCAGCACGAGAGGATCAGGAGACTGACGGTCCCCGATTGAGAGGCCAGGCTGAGAGCCGCTGTAGCCATTCAGGTCAGGGTCGGAGCACGTCAGCATGCAAGTGTGAAGCATGCACAGGAGCTGCCAGGTCCAAAAGCAAGCAGGCTCCTCCGTATCAGCTTTTTCCTCCCCTGCTCTCTGGCAGCCTGCCTAGCGCACAGCCTGGGTTCAGCCAGAACACTTTTCACAGCAGCAGAGTGCAGGCACCTTGGGTTTTTTTGCAAAGCACTTGGCAAGAAGAGCAGGCGGGCCAGCGAGGTGGGCAGTAAAACCCCGTTAACTTCACTGGGAAGAGTTCAGCTAATCCTACAGGCTTCTGGTACTTACATCCTTAACAGTGATTCACTGCCGCAGAGAGAGGGGCAGAACACAACCTGGAAGGAGGTTGGTGTCCTGAACTTTTATGCCTTATCTTGACCCATTTTAGACGGCAGACTTTGGAACAGCCCCAGTTCAAGAACAGCTCTACTCCAGCTCACTGTGTCTATGATTTCAGGGTTGAGCCTGCATATTATTCTTCCGCTTTTCATTACTCAGCAGAGGCCGCAGCCAATTAATGCCAAAAACATCCAAGCTACACAGGCAACAGGGTCCAGAGCCTTCACCTTTTGCCAGTAGGAAACTCTGACGATTCAGAACTGGCAGGAAGATCGGGCAACGTTAGCTGCAGACTTCAGCCTGTTGTGGTAGGAATTTATTACCTCAAAAGGTAAACATTAATTCAGTTCAGTATTCCTGACAAATGCCAGCTTGCCAAGAAACTAAAAGGCAAGCAAACTGACCAAGATTCTTCTCTGACACCAGGCTTGCTCACTAAGCAAGGGCATCCACCGCTCATCAGCTCTCTTCCAGAGAGAAGCAGCTGACTGGATGTGCTGAAATTCGACAGGCTTCCAGCTACATGAACCAGAAATCACAGAAACAGGCCTCACAACAAAGGCACTGAAGAGCTGTTTTCACCAGCGGGCTACAAGCCTTTGCAAAACAGTGCGATGCATCACTGGAGTATGATGCTGTTGGCCGACAGAAGGACTGGCAGAAACAAGGACCTGCAATGAACCCTGTTCAAATGAAGAAAAGCACTAATCACATGAATTATCATGCCTTTGGTTACTTTGTTTCCACGTATAACTGAGCTCTCCGCAGCAACAGGTTCAAGCATCCCAAGAGGGAGGCGAGCGGGCAGCTGCCTCTTCCAAGCAGAGAGCAAACAGAGTGCCAGCCCTCCACCCTCCAGGCAAACATT